GGGTTGGTGTGAACGCCTTCAAAAAATTGCTTCGCTCAACTGCCAACTGAGATGAAACTAGCACACAGGTTATACCATGAAAGACCTAATTAACGACGCCCCCATTCAGCAGGAAGCAGTTTGGAGAGAAATAACTGCGCCCATATTCCCAAAAAATGTTTATAAATGTTCTTTTACATTTAAAGGGGGATATGATATAGGTATGAATAATTTGCATTAGTATAGATTTTGCTTTATTGATAGAGATTTAAGGTCAATTTTGTTATATGTATAAGTGTTTCTGATTTTGATTAAGGTATTGTGATTGTGTAGTTCATTTAAATATGTACTGTATAATTAAGAAATATAGGTTGTTAATGGATAATCATCGATAATAGTAAAGCTTGTAGTCATGTTAGTTAATATTTTCTAGATGTGCGTAGATATATTTTAGATAGACATTCTTCATGTCTTTCAAAGATTACAGAATAGGACATTTAATGTTTTGATAACTGAGGACTTTTCATGACAATGAGACACTCTGCTCCTGGCAGCACCAATCTACTTCAGGAGGAAGATGGGCATCGAAGAGGCTCATTATGGAGTTTTGATAGCCATTTGGGCAAGAAACTGCTCTTGCCTGGACTATTGCATAAACTGGACACAGAGAACCCGCAGAGAGAGGACTACTGAACTTGCCTAAGGTGAGATGATCTTTCGGGGTTCCTGATTCATTTTGAAAGAGTCTGCGAGACATTCTGCAGGATGCAACAGATAGTGACTGAACTGACTTTGAATTTTCCTGCTTTATGGAAATGTCTGCTGGATACCATGGGCCTGAAGGCTGAAGATGGATGCCCCAACGGTACAAAAGAACTTTGGGTGACTGTCCAGGCAGCGAGATGTCTTTGTCATTTCTAGAGTTTGAAGTTTCTTAGTTCTTGTTTACTTAGGTAATATATCTTTCTGGAGTCTTTGATGGAGTTAAGAATAGTTAGTTATAGTTATAGTTTTCCTTAGTTATGATAAAGATTATTGTAACTTTTACTTGATAACTGTTTTGTTATATGTAATTTTGCTATGTTAAAGTTAAAGCCTTTTTTTTTTTTTGTTTAAACCGAAAAAGGGGAAATGATGGAGGAAGGTCATTGGCTAATAAAGGCACTGCCCTGGCCCATTTTATTGGTTAGAGGATAGGTGGGAGGAGTAAACAGAACAGAACGCTGGGAGGAAGAGGAAGTGAGCTCAGAGTCTCGACAGCTTTCCTCTCAGGAGCAGACGCCTGAGAGAGACGCCATGCCCCGCTCCTGGCTTGAAGCTCCCACCCAGGATGGACTAGGCTAGAATCTTCCTGGTAAGCGCACCTTGGGGTGCCATACACAGATGATTAGAGATGGGCTAAATTAATATGTGAGAATTAGCCTAGAAGAGAATGGGCCAAGCAGTGATTAAATGAATACAGTTTCCGTGTAATTATTTCGGGCATAAGCTAGCCGAGCAGGCGGCTGGGGTGCCAGGGACGCAGCCCCCCGCCACTCTTATTACTTCAGTACCCAAGATGTCTAACTTACAAAGAGTGCTGCTTGGTTTTGACTCATAGTTTTGGAGGTCTCAGTCCAGGACAGAGGCCTCATTGCTTTGAGTCTATAATGAGAATGTCCATCTGACCAAACCATTCACCTCATGGTGGGGAAGTGAATGATGAAGAGGAAGGGACAAAGTCCACCTTACAACCTTCCATGATGTACTAACTCAAAGGTCCTTTGGTCTCTCAGTGGTGCCACACTGGGACCGAGGCTTTAACACACGTTCCATGAGAAGACATTTCAGATCGGAACCCTAGCAGCAGCCAGCCATTCTTAACCCAACTTCTCTGTCCACTCAGTGCCAGCCGTTGTTCTGCATTTTCACATGTCTCAATTCATTTAATCCTCTGACAACGCCTACAAAACCAGGCAAGGAAAATGCAACCCAGAATAACCCAATAACTTGATTGGGCCATCCAGTCAATAAGCAGCTAGACAGGGCCCAGGCACGGCAGCCACTTTAGAGCCAGACACAACAGGAAAAGTGTGTCAAATGGAGGAAGCTGCTGAATTAAAGGGGCAGGCGGGGCTACTGTGATTGATGGGCCTCAGCTCTGGGTAGGCGGTAAAGATAAAGAGCTGCGGCTCTGTCTTGGAATAGGTTTCTCTGCCTACCAAGGGCCAGATCTCACTAGTAGGGCTCGCCCTCCCTGACGGATGCGGCATACACCTTGGGGTCTGACCCCCACTGCAGTAGTGGGAAGACATTGGATTAGTCAGGATGCCGGGACTGAGCCTGGCTCAGGATAGGTTGGGCAAGGAGGCCAGTGGAAAGGAGTCAAATGGGCCAAAGGCAGAGAAGCAAACCTCTGCCCAAATGTCTCTTTGCTGGCAGAGTCTCTGAGGTCATGCGGGTCTCTCTACAGCTACCCCAGGAGATCCTCTCAGGAAGGGTGTTGGCACCGCGGAGGTTGGAAAGGTCTCTAAGGTCAAAACCTTTCCATAGACAAAGTCCCTTTCTGAGAGGTGGGGATGGGGAATGTACCCAGGTTAGGTTGGAAGGGCCCTCCAACCTAACTTCTAGGATCCTCAACATTGGGAGATCCCTGAAGACATAGAAACTCTCCATTTTTGCTACACAGAAACCAGAGGTGAAGATGCCAGTTCTAGGCTGGCTGTGTCTTGCCACGGGCCGGTGGTTCCCTTACCTGTGTCTCCTTCCAACTCACAGCTACTACTGCAAAACAGTTCTCACTGACTCCCACATCCATTCTCACTGCCAGCATGCCTACTGCCCAGTTGCAATAACTAAACAAGCTGCTCAGAACCGAGATTCAGCTGAGCACTGCCCACTGTCATCAAAAGGTCCATGATAGTGAAGTCTCTCCATGCACCCTCTCCAGTAACACCCTGTTCCTTGTTGAATTCAGGAAACAGCTGGATCTCCTGAGGCTGCACTATTCTTTTAGCCCCAATGCTCTTTTCCAACCCACAACTTCTCTGCCCGCCTTCAGACACAAGCTACCACCAGGAAGCACCATAGTCTGAGTTAAATGCCCTTTAGAAGTACCCAGCCCCCATCTCCAGCTTAACAAGTACTTACCACCCACATTAGTTCCACAAGGATCGGAGTTTATGAGATGTCCACAAGATATCCACAAATCTCTGCAGGATAAATGACCATTCAGCTTCTTTTTGTGCTTTTGTTTTTTGTTTTGAAACAGGGACTCCTATAACCCAAATGGCCCTTTAACACTCAAAATAGTTGAGGATGCCCTTGAACTCCCGATCCTCTTGCTCCCACCTCTCAAGTTCTGGAATTACATGGTTTGTGTGGCACTAAGGATTAAACCCAGGGCTTTGTGCATGCTAGGCCAGTGCTCTACCAACTGAGCCTCAACTAGTTCCTGGCCGTCAAACTTCATTAGGATCATTAAATAATAAGATGTATGTGTCATAGCGAGGATTTATGTTGCTGTAATAAAACACCATGGTCAAAGCAACTTGTGAGAGACAGGGTTTATTTCAGTGTACAATTCTCAGGTCATACTTCATCAGTGAGGGAAGTCGGGACAGGAACTCAAGCATAGGAACCTGGAGGCAGGGACTAAAGCAGAAAGCATGGAGGAACACTAGTAGTTTGAATGTAATTGACCCCCATAAGCTCATAGGGAGTAGCATTATTGGGAGGTGTGGCTTTGTTGGAATAGGATGACCTTCTTAGAGGAAGTGTGTCACTGTGGAGGTGGGCTTTGAGGCCTGCTATGCTCAAGTCATGGCCAGTGTCTCAGTTCACTTCCTGTTGCCTGTGGGATCAAGATCTAGCTCCTTTTCCCCTCACAGCTCCATGTCTGCCTTCATGCCTCCATCTTCCACCATGATGATGATGAACTAAGTCTCTGAAACTATAAGTCACCCAATTAAATTTTTTGCCTTTATATGAGTTGCTGTGGTCATGGTGTCTCTTCACAGCAACTGAAACTCTAACTAAGACAAACAATTTACTAGTTTGCTTTCCAAGGCTTGCTCAGCCTGCTTTCTTATATACCCCAGTATCACCTGTCCAGGGATGGCACTGCCCACAACAGGCTGGTCCCTCCTCATACAGCAATCACTAATTAAGACAATGCACCCTAGGCTTGCTCACATGCCAGTCTGGTAGGGACAATTTCTTCAATAGAGGTTGCTTCTCAAATGACTTTAATTTGTGTAGCGTTAACAAAAAAAAAAACTGGTGGTGTCATCTTTCCATCTCTATAACAAACATCTGAAATAAGCAATGTATAGAAAGGTTTATGTGGAGATCTAGTCAGCGGTCAGTTGGTTGCTTTCAGTCCTGTGGTAAGGCAAGTACATCATGGCAGGAGGACATGGTGGAGCCAAACTGTTCCTGATGGCCTAACTTCCTCCCTTTACCCTCTCGCAACAGTACCATCTTGGGGACCAGGCCTTTGGGAAACATTGCAGACCCAAACTATAGCAGACACTGCAACTCAAGCACCGCCATATTAAACAAGCTATTGACTTCTGGGCATCCTTTAACCCAAGCATAGAATGAGGAGGCTGGGCAGGCTTCAGAGTACGTTGTAACTACAGTACGTGGCAAGTCAGTGGGACTGGAGACCAACATTGTCATCAATATTGGACAGTCATTAGAGATATAGCCCCAGGACCCCCAGAGTTTCTTTTATCTTTTTTAATCTTTTGTTTAGCTTCATTTTACTTATGTGTATGAATTGCTTAATGTCCATACACTATGTGCTTGCCTGGGGCCCATGAAATTCAGAAGAGGGTGTCAGATTCCCTGGAACCAGAGTTGAGGGTGATTGTGAGCCACTATGTGGAAACGAAACCCAAGTCTGCCAGAGCAACAGGTGCTCCCTGAGCTGCTCAACCATCTAGCTGGCTCCGCTGGCAGTTTCTGATACAGGTATGCAAACGCTAGAAATACCCACAGATGCTGTGAGTTGAGCTGTCCCCTTCTGGCTCCCGCAGGTAGATTTTGAAGATGTGATCGCAGAGCCCGAGGGCACCTACAGCTTCGATGGTGTATGGAAGGTGAGCTACACCACTTTCACCGTCTCCAAGTACTGGTGCTACCGCCTGCTGTCTACCCTGCTGGGTGTGCCACTGGCCCTGATCTGGGGCTTCCTGTTCGCCTGTATCTCCTTCTGCCACATCTGGGCCGTGGTGCCCTGCATTAAGAGCTACCTGATCGAGATCCAGTGCATCAGCCACATCTACTCACTGTGTATCCGCACCTTCTGCAACCCGCTCTTTGCTGCGCTGGGCCAGGTCTGCAGCAACATCAAGGTGGTGCTGCGGAGGGAAGGCTAAAGCCAGGCTGGGCTACGGGGGCGGCTGGGCAGGAGAAATTAGGCCGGGTGAGCCCCGCGGCTCCACGCCACGTGGGCTGCCGGAGAGCTCCTTCTTTTGAGGGTCCTTTCAATTTCACCTCAAGATGGGAACGCATGGGCAGGGGAGCCAGAAGGAATAGACGACCACGTGTGGAATCACAGACACCCTCGCTCTGCTCAGCCCGCCATGATCCCCTGTGAGCCTGCCTGAGGGCAGATGGTTTAAGAGGCAGCTACCGCAAGGCTTTGCGTTCACTTGTACTGTAATACCACAAACCAGAGCTAGTCCCCTAGAGGTTTGACACGGCTCCTCATGCAAAAGAGAGCAAGCAGTGACTGCAGACATGAGGAGGGTGCTGCAATAAAGGGTTTCTGCTGCACCGGGGAATGCCGTGCTTTGCCTGTCCGTGACTTGGTCGTGTGTCCTTTTCTGGCTCTGAAATCTAGAAAATTCAGTTGGAGCTCTGGGCAACTTGAAAGTATTACCAAGTTGTGTTTTCGTTAGCCTTCTGCTTGTTTGCTGGGCCTAGAGTCTCCCATATGAAGAGATTGTTTTCACATGACTTCTGATGTCCCTGAGGCTGCTATGACTACTCAGAGCAAGTGAGCATCCCTTGATGGGTCCCAATCTCAAACATCACAGAATCTCCCTTCTGGCTCAGAAGATACTGAGCCCAGAGCATACGTGTCTGAGGCCCAGGGTTTACATATCTGGACTAGCTGTGAAATTAACAGAGTGTACTCACAACACCTCGTTGTCCCTCCCCCCCCCCCCCCCCACACACACAGCATAAGCACACACCAAATCTTAGCAATCCAGTTTTCGGATGGCTTTACGTACATTCCCCATTGGGAACTTGATCCCTTCAAGGTGACACTAAAGAATCCCAAACCTCCAGTTAGACCACAATGCACAGTGGGTTTAACAAATCTCATGAGGGGTTGGGTCCAAGATCCTCAAATCTTTCCACAAACAAGTGAGCACACCTAGGACTCCATAGAATAATACCGAGCCCCCCTTCTGGTCCTGCCACAGTCCATACAGCTGTCACTAGCAGACAGGTGACCCTGGAGCCTGCCAGGGAACTAATATGATAGGCCACTGTTCTTGGGAGGGAGGAAAAGGCAGTGAAGTACACAGAAAAATATTTATTAAGTGCACCTTTTATGAAGCAACTGGTAAAGCAGGATTGGCCACATCACTCACCAGATGCAGGGACAAGGAGGCACCACACCAAGTCCATGGAAGAACAATACCAAGGAATTCACACTGTGTGCTAAGTGGCATCTCGTTGCAATTGAATACAAAACACTTATACGCTGAAACCAGGAACATCATCCGGGCAGGCTGCACACACATCCTCTTGTGCTTCCTGAATAGATCAGTCTGATTTATACAAAAGAAGACCACAGCTTTTTTAAACGTCAATTTTTTTTTTTTTTTTGCAGGCCTAAATAACCCTCACAGTTTGCACTCTGGCTCCTCATGGTCAGAACAATGAAACACTCCAGAAAATTCAGCATGCTCCAATTTAATACAACCTCCAGACCTGAACACAGATTGTAAACAGGGTGGAAAATAGGAAAGGACACTGGGGATGTCAAGTGTGGAGTCTGAGGAAGGAAGATGTAGGACACAGGGTTGGGGAAGTGTTTTAGACCCCTGGAGATCCTAGGCTTTGGTTGGGGAAATAACAAGAAATGGTGAAAATACTCTCCCGTGAGATTGGGACAGCAAGTGCCAATCCAATGTTGCTGATGAAGTCAATTGTCATTTATGTCACAGACACAGGTGTCAGGACCATAACAAGACCCAAGGTACCAGCTAGAGCTTTCGCACAGAATGACACAGTGTCCCCCGGAGGTTTCGATGTCCAAACGTGGTGCCCCTGGTCAGAATATCTGAGTTACTGTCCCGTTGACCCCTCCTTTCTCTAAGAATGGCAAATACTCAGTGAACAGCAGGGACGAATGACATCTTCAAGATACAGATGCCAACAGACCCCCACCCTGCTGCCATGTGTACACCCGGGCCACCCGGGTGGCCTAGAACATAGGCACAGATGCCCCAAAGCAGAATCCTGTCAGCTTCTCAAAGAACTAGCTGGTGGTGACATGCATGAGGTGGGCCACTGTGCAATGCCCCTGAGTCCAAAGATGCCCTCGCCTTCTGTCTCCAGCTGGTGCCAACAAGCATGCCTTAAACTGTGGATGCTGAACATGGGCACTGTAGCCCATGGCTCCCTCTTCTCTGAACACCAGACTGTGCTGTCTCATACTTACCTGTGTGTGTGTGCCTATGGTATATGTGTGAGTATGGGCAAATATTGCAGTGCGGCAGAAGAAAATGTGTTCAGAAACAGGGAGAGGTGGTAAAGTGGATCTGCAGATTCAAGGCTTTTGGGAAGTACCCTTGATATATCTCAGGAAGTCCAGAATCAATTCTGGGTATTTCAAAGGTACTCCAGAGTGCATAGTGACCAGCCACAGCCAGAACGCCTCTAGTCAGTTGTGTCCTGTATTAATGACGGAAGGTATTTCTGAGAGAGTCACGTCCTGCCCTCAAGGCTGAGAGGACATTTGAAATCATACTTACTGGGTAAACAAAGCCTTTGAGACTCCAGAGGAATTGCCTGTTCTAAAGAAGAGAGGGCACGGCGCTGCAGAGCATCCCTCGGGCCTTTGTTAGAGCCAGATGGGGGTGATCGCCCCTCTCACTGGCCAGAAGAAAGCAGCCTCTCCCGCAGACACTTGGAGGTTGTGAGACACAGGAGAACCAGCGCTCGAGGAAGAGAGACCAAGAAATGCATCATCATTTTGACTTTCCCAGAACTCAGCTTTTGGACCTCTTATTTTTCACATTTTAAAATGTATTTAGTTCCATGGTTTTTGTGTGTGTGTGTGTGTGTGTGTGTGTGTGTGTGTGTCTGTCTGTCTGTCTGTCTGCTTGCCTATGAGTGTGTGCATGCTGTATATCCACTTGTAGAGACCAAAGGTCAATTTCAGATGTCTTCCTCCACTCTCTACCTTAATTTTTATTTAGTTATTTATTTTGAGAACCCGAAGATGATCAATCTCCTAGGCCAGCTGGCCAGCAAGTCTCTGGGATGCGCCTGTCTTCACCCTCCAGGGCCGAGGTTACAAACGCACTGAGCCTGGCTCCTGCTTGGATGAGGGGCATCTCAGACTTGCTCAGCAGGTGCTTCTCTAAGTGAGTTGTCTCCTCAGCCCCTGGTTCAGTGACTTTTAATATGTTCTCAAAATCATGCACCAACTGCACAATCCAATGCATTTCAACTACCCTAATTCCCATTTCCTCGGGAACTTCAGGATCGGGTTATCAATTTCTGCCAAAGCCAGCTAGGATTTTGATGAGGATTACATCAAATCTGTCCAACAATATTACATCTCTGATCCATAAGCACAAGGTGTCCCTGTTTATTTAGTCTCCTTTCATTTCCTTCCATGGTGTTTGCAGCTTTCAGGACAGAAGTCATACATTTCCTCGGCTAACGCTGGCCCTTCCTTATTCATTCTGGCACATTTATGGGTAGGATCTCTTAAGTTCACCAGAAGTGTAAGGAAATATGAATGGCTTTTGCACACTGATCTGGAACTCTGCAACCTTGCTATTCAACTGTCAGCTCCAGAGTGTGGGGGGGGCTACTTGCATGTGTGTGCATGTACACATGCATGCGTGTTCCTCAGGGTCTCATAAGCATGGGTTAGTGTCGTGTACAAACAGTTCTCCCCAGTCTTGTCTCTCCTGGATGACTCTCATCTTTTTCCTTCTCAAATGTTCACCAAGCATCAGCTTCTTCAACACTTCAGCCCGTGTTCTTGTTGCCTTCCTGAGGCAGGTGGCCTCACGATTCAGTCTCCTGTTCCCATTGTTTTCCTGGGACACTCTGGCCCCTGAGGATGCTAAGATCTGTCCACACAACTCAGGTCACGAGGAAATCAGCACCACTCTGTATCTGAAGCCTCATTTCCCATTCCTTGTCCCAGCCCACTGGGTTTCCTCACATAACTGGTCACCAATCCATGGCTTACTGCCTTTTACAAGATCCCAAGATAAATAAGTAAGAAAGACAATGGAATGAAAGCCAGGTTCAGGAGAGCCCACCCACCACCCGAGAGCACTCTGGTTGGGGTAGTAGAAGCACAGGTGGGAACCCAGAAGACCTTCTGATGGCTGAGTGACTGGCATCTCCCATAGAGACATTTCCCCACCCCAAGTCAGAACATGCCCCCACTCGCTAGCCACCCCAAGGAGGAGAGGGATACACACCAATAGGCACCTTATACAACTCCACGCACAGCCACCAGGGGCAGACTGGAGTCCGCATAACCCCCGCTGCAGGGGTGGGCCAGGCAGGTGGCTCATGCTGAAGATGGTTGAGAGCAGCTCCTCTGGCTGGAGCTGCGGCGACTCAGGACGAAGGTGGACGAGTTGCTTTTCTTGCTGACACTTGTCTCTCCGGGCCTGCTGCCCTTCAGGTAGCGGGCAGAGCAGCAGAGAAAGCGCTGCACAAGTTCGTGAAAGAGGTGGCCCGTGAACAGCATGTAGATCCAGGGGTTGCAGCAGCTGTTGAGGCTGGCCAAGAGCATGGCGATGATGAAGGCAGAAGCTGCAGGGCGGGTCGGGAGGAAAGGAGAACAGGGGGTCACTCTGGGACCATCCCAGACCTTCCTGATTCAGCCACAGTTGTCCCTGCAATAGCAATCTCAGGTACCAGAGGCTGGATCACAAGACAAAGTACCAAACAGGTACAGTATGTCCTTCCACAGCCTTGCTCAGGGCCCATTCCCCAATTTAGCTGGGGCTCAGTACGGCCCTAAAGTTCCCTCACCTTTTCTCTGAACTCCAGCTTCCCCAGGAACTGAAGGCCCCCTTCCTTCAGCGGGAGCTCTATGCCTCACAGCCGGTTGCTCCCTCATCCTTCACCCAGCAAATGGAGTGCCTGTGACTCTGACACCAAAGAACACAGGCAGGGGTGGGCAGGTGACGTCAGACCTCATTTGCATAGCTCAGCCCATACCTATCACTGTATCCAATCCCCATCTCTCCCCAAGGCTTCAGTTCCTCCCATCTTTACATGGGCCAATGACAACTTCCAACCTGCCTGGAAGCCAGCAAGATTCAAAAAGTACCAGGTTCACAAGAGTGTGCCCAGTAAGACGTCGTGGCTGTCAACACACGCCAGGCACCCACTGGACTCTGTCGACAGCAGAATAAAGAGACAAACTAACTCCTAGGTACTTTCAAGCAGAGAGAATAAAAGCAAAATTTAGGCTTCTTTCACTGGCCTTAAGTCTGTTTGTGACAAGAAATGAGTCTAGGTGACAAAAAGACACCCAGAAAGACAAAACTCTCTGCCTGGCTGTCACTTGTGAGGGGAGATCACAGGGAGGGCTGGGCAAACCCCCTGGTTTTCTACCTTTTGGAAACACTTCCAAAACTCACTCCAGAAGTCAAGAGTTCCACCTGGAGAAGAGATCTCCCCTGGGAGGCAGGAGTGGCAGAACCTGGGTGTAGAAAACAGAGGCTTGCCACTGTCGTCCCAGCAGCCATGGAAGAGTAGTGGCTGGGAAGCCTGGGTGGTTCTTAGAATGGCAATCCCAGGGCGTGACAGCTCCTGAAAACGTGGAAGAAACACAAGTCCTCAGGCTCGTGAGAGACACTCAGCTATGGCGGAACAGGCCCTCGGGGGTTCTGAATAGCAGTCAAATGTAAGAGCAACTGATCCAGTTCATTAGTGTGCCAACTGGCACAGAATCAAACTACAATGAACAAACAAACAATAAATAAATAAGAATAAATAAATTTAAAAATAAATAAATCTTGCCAAAAAAAAAAATGTTTTCAGAAATTCAAATGGGAACATCCAATCCCTAAAATGCAAACAGTAACAGAGAGAGAATAACACAGGGAGAAAAGCCAATGTGATCAGGACCGCTTATCTTTATGAAAGAGGGTTTTCTGTTTGCTTCTGTTTGGGTAAAGAGAATGAAGAGAGACAGTGGTGAGATGCCTTAAGGTTAAAATCACCCACAAGACTAAAAATAGACTATGGCCAAATCATAAAAGAGGCAAAAATCAATAAAGGCCAAAAACAATAAAACAAACCATCAGCCCCAGAGAAGATGGAGGTGAAATGAGAGAGGGAATCTCATAGCCAGACCCTAAGGCACCAGCCTGTACCCTGCTAGGGATAATCAGAGTATAGGCTGAGCAGGCCTGATGAGGAAACCCGGCCTTTCAAGGGCTCTCAAGTTAGAAAGTATTTGTGTGTGGACACGATTCCCCAGCTGGAAAGTGCCATACCTGGCCTCATGTGACATGTCAGTCACAACCCAACAGCACTAAAAACCTTGTGTGAAATTCCCTGTGGGCTGCATGTGTACAGTGTACAAGTAGCGTGTATGAATTTCGTGGCTAGACTCAGGTCCTACCCCAAGGACAAACCATTGCATAGGTGGACATGTACCACAATCCAGAGAAAGACTTCTGGTTCTGGTGTTTTGGATATGGATCCTCTCCCCGCATAATCTTGGTGGGTCACCTGAAGCGACTGACATCGTGGCTTTGCATTTAGAATGACGGAAGCATGGACACATTGTCAGCCCAGGGCATAGTGCTTTTCCAGAGGGGCAAGACCACGCCGGTGGGCCGTGTCAGCATCTCTGCCCCAGGCTCCCCAGGAAGGTGCAGTTCCCAGAGCAGTCTGCAAGCTGGTTTACAGATGAAGGGAATGGGTGTTAGAGAAAGTAGATGACCCCCTCGAGGGCGCATGCGCACACACACACACACACACACACACACACACACACACATACACAACACCATACCTTCCCACCCAAAAGGAACAGAACCCAAAAGGTTCCTTTTGAAAACAGGTTCTCATTCTTGGGGTCTGAACAGGCTCTTGTTAGCAGATCCAGCCCCAAAGTCAAGGCTGGCTGAGCAATGCACCCCGGCAGTGTGGACCACAGAGAATACCTCTGTTCTAGGACAGAGTCCTTAGAGGTGAGTGCCTGGGAGACGACTTCAACACCTCCAGTGGGATCATTATCCTTCTCACCAATGACAGATGTGTCCACAAGCAGGGACCCAGAGTCAGAAAACTATGGATGATTGGTTAAAGTCTGCTAGCACTGTTATCAATAAAGTTTTATTAGAATGTATCCATGGCCATCTATTCACCGGCTTTCCATGGCTGCTTTCAGGGGCAGAGTTGAAGAATCGTGAACAAGACCTTGAATCCCAAAGCCTGAAGTATTTGTCATCTGATCCCATATGAAAAATACTCAGGCAGTCCTTGGAGAGCCTGTAGGAGGGGTAGGTGTTAAAAGGTAGATACTCGGGGCGCTGGAGGAGGATGCAGACCCAGAGCAAGTGCATTTAGCACAGTGTAGGCCCCAGAGGGTGAAGACCCTAGAGCAAGTGCACTTAGGGCCTGTGGGCCACAGAAAGAAGCCCCTCCCCACACTACAGTTAACAGAATAAATCGTGCCTTAGTTTTTGAGTCATACAAATCTGGGCAGGGACCTGGCTCCCTCTGGAGCTGTGTGTTCTTGGGAAAGTTACTCAACATCTCTGTACCTCGGTTTCCTCATGAGATAGGAAGCCAAAGCTCCCCTCACAGGAATATAGTGAAACTGGCTTGTCTGACAGACAAGTGTGGTTCAGAATCCAAGTTCCTTAACAGCAGGCGCAGCCTCCACATCGTTGCCATCCCTCCTGCAATGATGGGGCGCACTTCATACACACGTTACTTTTGCAATCCCCAACGGAGTTAGCCTTCTGCATGGGAAACAGGCATGCTTGTGTTCCCCGGGCTTGTGTGTCTGAAAATGTGAAGCACCCTGGGTGGGGCAAGATGCAGGACCCCATGACCGAACTTCTCAATGCTTCCCAGCCATCTGACTGTGTCTGTCACTGACTGGTTCCAGAGTGTGGCTCCTGGGCCAAGAAGGCCAGCAGGCACGTAGACACTTGTGCTGGCTTAAAAGGCCCGCAGGGTGAAACCACACAACTCTACAAGCTTGTCAACTTCTGGTAGGTGTAAGCACTTTGAGATGGGGGGGGGGGGGGGTCTCAACTCCACCAATGAACAAATAACTCACAGTGGACACAAGCACCCTGGGCTCTCAGTGTCTTTCTCAGTGCCCTGGGCACGTGTGCAACTATCCCCTCTGCCTTCCACTTACCTACCAGCCTTGCAGCCTGGAGGACCAGGCTCACATCATCCCTTGGCTCTCTTCCACACTGAGATCCTGCCTCATGTTTATCTTCTTTCCCAACACACAGACTAGTCATGTAAAGCTTTCAGGGACATCCAGCAAACAGCCAGCAGGTTATATGCAGCCCAGGAAAGCTATGAAAGCAGACCAGCGCAGTCACAAACTTACTTAAAGCCTCCCACTAGTATTTTTGAAGCTTGACTGTGCACCACCCAAGTATGAACTCTGCTGATGACAACACCGTGTCTCAGTGTCACATAAATGGGTGTTTTCAAAACCTGCAGGCTATGAATTGGACATCGTTGAAATCTAAAAATATAATCCAAGACATTTTTTTCTTAGTCCAGTGTTTCCCAAAGAAGCCAAAAGGTTAGACACATCCTCACTTTAGGGAGGCTGACTGACCTATCTCTGCCTTTAGGCAAGTGCAGTAGGCTATAAGATGCTGTAGTCCCACCCCACAAGAAGAGGATGCTGCAGCTCCACCCATTCAGGAAGAGGATGATGTGGTCCCACCTCTTCAAAAAGGGAAGGCTGAAGTCTCAGCTCTTCAGGACTCAGAGCTCGCTTTCCAGCTGCCAGAGTGCAGGCTGCTCAGAACTCACAGTGAGTGGGCGGGGCTCCTGCTGCCCCCGGACAAAGGAGTTGCCACATTTCATGAATGCTTTAGTGAAGATGCTCTAACATCAGGAACCCAGCCTTCATCTATCTTTGTTGCAGAGATAGCCCAGATTGTAAGCTCCTTGTAAGCCTGGTCTCCTGTCACATTTCTCGGAAGACAGAGCCATCGTGAAGTGAGAACAGAGACAGGAGAAGTCCAGAGGCCAGGATGGAGGTATACAAAAAACTAACCTGGGAAGAGACACGCACAGTTCACAGAAGGAGACCCGAGCCTGGAGAAACTACCTAAAGGAGAGTGGTGTCTGGAATACAGAACCCTTCCCCAAACCCCTGGTCTAAGCCCCTCCCTCCCCCAGTCCTCTCCAAGCCCTGTCAGCCCTCTGGGTGTTGTTTCCCTCCTCTGGACACTGAAGGTCGCACAGGAAAGAGAGAAAATGGAGAGGGCCTTAAGCTAGCGTGAGACGACTTCTTGTTGCTGCGGCTGATGGATAAAGAATAAAAGATGGGGTCATGTATTTAAGTCCATGGTCAGGGTTCTGGTCAGAGGTCAGTGAAAGAGGCTGCCCTTAGTTCCTTTCCTCTAATGCTTCTCAAAAATTAAAAGAAAAGAAAGAAAAACAGAGCCCTCGGATTGGATGTACTCATGAGAGAGACTCCAGAGAATCCATCTGGGGAAACTTACACTGCCAGCAACGTCATTAGCCCAGCAGGGTAGGTTTCTGCAAACAGGATGATTCTGGAAAGGCAGCTCCAAGACCCTGCC